TTTTTCGACTCGCTCGAACAATGGTCCCCGAAAATTTCCATTTTTTTTCCCTAGTACTCTCAAATTCTCTAATTCACCCTCCCCCCACCCGCCTCTTCATTTTTAGTTTTACCCCTCTTGTCAATTCTCTCTTATATTTCCTCCCCCCTTCCCTCCACCCTTCAAATATTATAGTATATAGATTTTTGTTCATAGCTTTTCCATATACGTATGTATATTTTTATTATTTCTTTCTCACTTCTTTGCTTTCTCTCTTTTTCTCTCATTGGTCCCGTAATGGCCGATTCTTCCTCCCCTATATATATATATATATATGTATGTATAATATAGAATATATGCTAATGCTTTCAGACGTACGCATACTAATTTATACGAATTTTTGGAAACCATCGACTCGAGGGGTTTGTCTGAATGATTCACAATAGACACGCTTAGGGATCAACGAATATTTATGGGGTTTAAGACAAAAAAGAATAGTTTCCATATGAACAGACGGGTATCGATACGCTTTCGAACGTATTTTTATAGTGACACTGTCAAAGGTTAATAGTTTTAAGGGAACAATTTTCTCTCGTGATATAACATTTGTTGGAAATTGTAATGTTTTTTTTATAAATATTAATGGGGGTGGAATTTTTATATGAATAGTTTTTAAAATTGATTTTTGGTGAGATTTGAGTGCTGTTTAGATCTAAATCAGTTGGGATTTTAACTGATTTGAGTTAATAACTGATTTTTTTCTTTTAAATCGGTTTAAATTTTCTGATTCAATAGTAGAAAGGAATTTTTATCTGAATCGGTAAATTTAAACTGATTTAAGAGCAAAAAGTCAGTCGTTAATTTAAAATTTTAATCAGCTAAAACTTTAATTAATTCAATTAAATTTTCCTGAAAATGATTGAAATACAAGTCATTTTTCATTGATTGGTAAAATAAAATAAAAATAACTGGAATTTTTAATATAAAATACTTAAATTTTCGGTAATTTTTAAATTCGCCATTCAATGAAAAATGACTTAAATTTGTACTATTTTAAACTGCTTTTCACTAAAATTTGACTGATTGAAATTGAGAGAATAAAGTGTGACTGATTAGCAAAATCTACTGATTCAGATCTTAGAGTTTCAAGGAAGAATTTTGAATTTTTATGACCTTAAAATTTTGGACATTCAAATAAAGGATTATTGTCTTTAACATTTTTTTTTCAAATTTGAAATTCATTAGAATATATGAAAAAATTCAAAACAAAAATGTATTGATTGAAAAAATTAATTTTTAACAAAGCAAAATATTTAACTTATTTGTTTTTTCTTGTTTCTTCGATTGAAAATTAATTTTTCTTTGATTTAAAATAATTTATTTAATTCAAAAACAATTTTCCTTGATTCAAAGAAAATGTATTTGATTCATAAACAATTTTCATTTATTTCAGAATATTTATTTCATTAAAAAAAATTATTTGATTCAAAAACAATTTTCTTTGATTCAAAGAAAATTTACTTGATTAGAAAAAATTTATTTGATTAAAAAATAAACGATTTTTTCAAAGAAATTTTCCTTCTTCAATTAAAAAATTATTTCAATATCAATTATGTAACATCTTTGATTTAAATAAAAAAATCTTAGCTGACTTTTTGCTTCAGCGATTAGTAAACAAAAACTAATTTTGAGTACAAAATAACTAATTATTAGTAAAAAATAACTAAATTAGTTAAAACGACTAATTATTACTAGGAAATTAGTAGAAAATAACTAATTTTTAGTAAATAAATAACTAATGAAACTGTCAAATTTGATTAATTATTAGAAGAAAATAATAAAGTGTGAGTTAATAAATAATTAGGAAAATAGTCAAATTTGACAAAAATTGGATTAGCTAACAAAAATGTTAGTTATTTTTTGCTTATCCTAAAATTTTTAATAATAATAATAATTATTATTATTATTGTTATAATAAACCAATATTTCTGATGTAATAGGAATCTATTTTTTTTTTTTTTTGATTAAATCGAAATCGATTTGAAAGTTGTTCCCGCAAAAATGAAAATTTAATACCCACGAAAAATGCCAAAAAAAAAGTTTTGTACATTTTTTAATATAAGGTCAATCAGAGGCGATCGCGATAGACACACGAAATAAACGTGATTCGACACTTTTGTGCACGAAGAAACAATTATATTTCGATTGTGATGTCGAGTCACGCAAGGATCTACTTCATTCTTAAATAGTGTCTGGGAAAGAGTGCGCGGTGAAAAAAATGACAAAAATTGAAATGCACAAGTAATAAAAAATTTAATGCTATAATTAAGATTAACGATAAAAAAGCAGCCCCACCATGCGTTTATCATATATATATGACTAATTTTTGTTATTAAGTAGACAAATTTTGTTTCCAATAAAATATTGTATAGTGTCTGTAATAACTTTATGGTTTAGGAGAAAGAAAGAGAACGAAAGAGAGAAAAAGAGTAAGAAAGAGAAGGAGAAAGAGAGAGAAAGGCTGCGGTTAAGGATTTTCTTTGAAAATTGGTTAGAAAATAATTTGGGTTTGGAGAAATTTTGTATAAACGCATGAATGAGGTGAAGGTGAACAAACGAAAATTTGCGGCTATCACGCTTACAAGTCTAATTTTGTGGGTAGTAACATTGTCAATGCAATGGCGTGTGCATCAAACGGAAACAAGTCCTTAAGTTTGTCCGTCCGTCCGTCTGTCTATCATTCCCTTCATCCGGAATACGAATATTATATATTTTTTTGGGGAGTGATGTTGGGTTAGGGGGTAGCTGCAATTTCCAACAACAACCGCGCGTGGTCACTCTACGAAAAAAAAGGGAACAGCTGCATCGTTTTCAAGCATTTCTTTCGAATTGTCATATAGGCCGTTAATATTGCGAGTACCTGGCACTTTACCTAAAGGGGGTAAAAAATCACCTAAAAACGTAGAATTTACCTGAAAACGGTCGTTTTCAAACACTGTGATATATAAACGTAAAAAGGGGGAAAATGTGACATTTTTTTTTCATTTTTTTTTATCCAATAACGTGTAAAGGGTGAAAGTAATAATTTTCCCGTTTTCAAGCTGATTCGTTTAACCCTTATTCGCAAAAAAAAGCGAAAAAAAAAATTGGCCATTACGAGAAGAGAGCATTATTGACCTAGATATAATTTACATTTTCATAAAAAATTTTGATTCTCAGTTTCTTTGCAAGCTGCAAGGCACGAAAACGAACAATTTCTCAAAAGGAACTTTAAGTCATCGTTTCACCGTTCATCGCCGTTTAAAGGCCGAAAAATATTGAGAATAAACTTGTCATCTTTTTTGGAATGTTTTGGTATAATGTATTTGGTCAAATACATTTTGAAAAATTTTTTTTAATTATATTTTTTTATTTACTTTAAAGCGATCTTTGAATTATACTGAAAAAAATTTATTCAAGTAACCTACTTGTCTGTTATGCAATAAATATTTATTTGAATCAAATAAGTTGTATTTCGACCAATACTTTCAGTATTTGAATATTCAGAAAATATTTGTTTGAATCAAATAAAGTTTGTTTGAAACAACCAAATGTTGGTTAAATCTAGCAAATAAATATATTGCTATAAAACATTTGCTTGGTTCAACTAAACGTTTGTTTCACAAGATAAAATTATTTCTTGATAAAATCTTTCTTGATAAAATCTTTTTTGATAAAATTCTTTCTTTAAACGCTAAATTTGTTAAACTGAACCAAATGTTTATTTAAAGCAGATAAATATTTATTTGGATCAAGCAAACTTTATTTAAACTAACCTAATTTTTTTATCGAATCTAATTATGATGCAAACCTAATTTTTTTTCTCTGAAGAAAATATTCTTTAATCGATTTTAATGAAAAATTATTTAATGTAAACAAATATTTGATAGTAGACAAGTAACCGTCTCTTTGAAGTAAATAAATTTTCTTTCAGTGTAAATTATATGAATACTTTGCAAAATAGATGACAAACGTTTATACTTTGAATTTTGCAATATTCTTTTGATACCGCAAAAAGAGTCTTGCAAATTTATGTTCAACTTTTTTTGTTTGCTTTCTATGAAAATTTTTAAAACTCGTGTTTTGCGACATCACTTTAAGTTAAAATGGAGGTCTGATTTTAAAGAGTTTTAAAATTCAATTAGTCGTATTAAAATTGCCTAAATTCAGCAAAGGCCTTCTTATTTTCTCTTTGAAAATATGTTGCATCTTAAATTAAGACTTCATTTTCAGCTTAAAATAAGTTTTCCTTTCTGCTGCGTTGACACAGGAAAAAAATGGATATCAAAACTTATTATTTAGATATTAGGTCAATCGTGACATTGTTTTTATTTTAATCTACTTGAATTTCTATTTTTAGTTATTTATATATATTTTTATTTAGGATATTTTTTTTCTTATTTAATCCGTAATAACCATAATTAGCGTATAGTAAGAGTTTTTACAATCTTTTTTTCCAACGTTCAAAATGAACGAAATTTTTTTTGTTGTAGATTTTTCATTATTAAGATAATTTATTTAAATGCTTGTTCTCTTATAGTGTTGATTATTTGTTTAACAATTGTAATTTGAAAATATTTGGTATTTATCTTAAAATTTAGTATATTCTATACTTAAGATAACGTACCTAAAGTTCTGAAGTTTCAAATAAAATTTATTTATTTTATCTTCAAATTCAAATTGCGTCACGTATTAAAAAAATTAAGTATAAAAATTATTTATTTTTGTTTTTGCTTTTTATAAAACTTGTGCTCTAAAATGGTTTGAAAATTTTTACTATTTTCGGAGTAAAATGTAGAGTAACTTTTAGTATTTACAAAGTAAAATTTAAACTGTCTGGAACTTCTGCATCTTTTACTATTTTTAGAGTAAAATGTACAGTAAGTTTTATTATTTATAAAAAAATTAAAAATTTTAAACTGTATGGAATTTTTGCTTTGCAACTTTTACTATTTTCGGGGTAAGAATTACTGCGTTTAAAGTTTTTTGTAAAAATTAGTAAAGTTTACTTCAAATGTAGTAAAATTTACTTTTAAAAAAGTAAAATTTACCAGCAGTTATGTGCAGAAGTTCCTGATAGTTTTGATTTTATTTTCAGAGTAAAAATTGCTGTGTTCGAAGTTCTTTTTAAAAATTAGTAAAATTTATTCCAAAAATTGTAAAATTTACTTCGAAAATATTAAAATTTATCATAAAAAATGCGCAGAAGTTGCTGATAGTTTTGGTATTACTTTGAAAATAGAGTAATAGTTATAGTTTACTCATATTTTCTAAGCAGTAAATTTTAGTACTTAAAATCATTCTCTCAAGACTTATTCAGTCAAAAATTGTACTAATTTATTTTTAGTGGATTGAAAGTAAGATTTATTTTTTACGCTACGTTCAGAACTTTGTGGATCATAAAAATAAAAAAAAAAAATAAATACAAAGTATTTATATTAAATTTATTTTGTGTAAAGAGAAACCGCATTTAACTTAATTACATTAATTAAAATGTTGATCGTTGCGTGCGTGCACGGGAGAAATACTTGAATATTTTAAATGCTCCAGTTAATTTTCTAGACATTATATAATTAGTGCATCAGATGTTAAACGAAATTGTACAAATATAAAGCGTTAAAATCTAGATAATACATTTAAACCCTCTCTTTACATCCCTGTAATATGTTTATAATTTTACTATTTATTTAAATTTTCAATATCCATTTTTTTCCCGTGTCGATAAATATGGTTTTTCTTAGGTTTTTTTCTTTATCTTCTCTAGAGACTAGCTTTTGCTTGACTAGATTACTAAATTAATAGAGCGTTCTTTATTACATTCTCATTTTTTGGTCATTTTCATGTCAATATTTTAAAGGGAGATCATTTCTTTTTTTTATAAAAAACTTGGGACTTTTATATCATACAATTTTTTCAAATATATTTCAAATATATTTTTCGATTATATTTAATAATGGGTTGGCTGTGTATAATATTGTACTTTTGTTACTGGGTTATACTGTGTTCACCCTGAGTTTGTTAGTTTTTGCTCCTTGATATTCTCTAAATTTTAAGTCTTAAATATTATCGGTATTTCTTCTTCTTCTTTTTTTTCCTTCGTAATTATTATAAGACGGGATTATTTTTAATGTCGTATTTATATTGATAACAATGGTATTTATTGCAAAATCTATCCGATCTCTATTGTTCCCGTACGAAAAATATTCTATAGTTTTTATATTAGATTTTTTTCTTGTTATTTTAATTATATAAATCTTGGTCTTATTATGTAAATTGGCGCTTAGTTGAATAAGGTTCGACTATTATTATAATATATTGATAGAAATGAAATATCTCTGCGTTAGAAAAAAAAGGAAAGGGGAATTATTTGGTTTTTAGAGAAGAAAATTTGTCGATCTTCCCTGAAGAGAGGGGCCCCGACGTTATATTTAAAATAGGAACTTTGTCTCGATCACTCAATCAATCTTAATTATAATTTATATTTACAACTATAACATCGCGATTAGAATATATGTATTACAATAAATTTTTTTTTCTACGGGGCCAATTAGTTTTTAATCGAGGGATGATCGATTTATTTATTTTTTTTTGTACAATTATACGTATACCGAGTTAATGAAATAGAAACGATCAAAAAAACTAATCAGAATGAGGGTTTTCTTAAAAAAATACTATATTCTCATTGGCAATTTAGGAACAAATACCGTGTGCTCTAATTTTAACGAGGTGCAATCTGGACCATCGTTTTTTTTTCTAAATCTTGAAAGAAAAATGTGCAATTTTCTTTCTTAGAATTTTTTTTCCAAAAAATTGATGTTAGGCATATGGCGCAAAAGAGAAAATTGTTCTTCCTGAGAAAAGTTGATTTTATGCGGGACTTAAGGTGAATGATGCCGTGAGAGAACCACTGACTCGAGCCTTAACTGGTAGGTAGACTAAGGCCGGAGCGAAACGTTTGGATCCGGATTCTTCGCCGCCAGTTGTACTGCAATCTTGCGCTGATGATAGAAATTGTTGTTCTTCGATTAAAAATGGTTGCATTATTGTTTTCTCGGGATTTGAGTTCATGTCCTGAGGCATTGCGTAACTTGCTGGAACTTTGTGCTTATTCGCGACCTCTTTGAGAATTTTGCTCAATTCTGAAATGACACTTTCCGTCGGTTCGCCAAATGCCTTGTGATCCTTCTTGATGTGTTTTTTGATTCGATTTAAATTTGCTGTTGCAAATCCACATTGAGCGCATTTATAGACTCCTTGTGGTGTCACTTGGACGGCAGTGTCGGGTTTCTTTTGGGATGTATCGTTTTCGTTGTTTGTGATTCGTGGACTTTGTTTTTGTTCGTCGGGTTCGTCTTTTGATGATTCGATAATTTTGTCCATGAAGGGTTCTTTTGATTCGAGAATTTTGTCACTGAAGGAGTTGAATATTGGTGGGGGTAGTTGGGAGAGAAAATTTGGGAATTGATGACGAGTTAAAAGATGATGATGAAAGTGATCGGGTTGAGAGAAACTGTTTGGACAAAGAGGACACTGGAGGATCCTCTCGTTTTCGGTAATGTTCTCCTGGGGATTTGTGTGCGATCTTTCGTGTAGGAAGAGAAAGGGTAGAACTGTCGTGGTGAAGTTACAATAGGAGCATCTGTAGTTCTTGGATTGTTGATCCTCGGTTGATGAGCCGAATAGATTGGAGAGAACTTGATTGCCGAGGGAGGAGAGATCGGGGACTTTGTTTTGGGCCGATTCGAAGCCGTTGGGGATTTTTAGATTTGAATTTGTTGAGGGAATGCGAGAGGTACCGGGTAAGCGATTATTTTTCGTGTGAGACGCTTGGTACTGTTGTTCGAGTTCCTTCCATTTGTCGACACCGAGTTTTCCGTGATCGCTCAGGAGGTGAGCTTTGAGCCATTTGATGCTTCGAAATCGTCGGTTACAGATGGGACAGACTTCGGTGAAATGAGTGAAATAGCGATGATTTAAATCGCCTAATTGTTCTGGTTTTAGTGATGAGTCGTCTGGAATTGTGGCTTCGAATGCATCGGGTTTGCTGTTTGTGGAGAGATTTGAGCCCTCTTCGATAATCCCGTGTGTGTTGTGCTTGTGGACTCGTAAAAAGTACTTGGAGCAGAGTTCCTTGTTGCAGATGTTGCAAATCACGCCACCGATCTGTGCTCCATTTTCGATTTCGATGCCATGCATTCGTTGCATGTGGGTCTTCATGAAGTACTTGTTGCAGAGTTCTTTGTTGCAAATTTCGCAGTAACTGGAAGTTGGGGTTAGTGATGAGGATTTGCGTTCAGGTGTTGGTACGGATGAGGTTGGTGTTGTGGGCATTGAAATCGATGGTAACTGAGGGAGGGAATTTAAATCACTAGTTGAGACTGATTTGTGGTCTTCGGATATATGTTTTCTTAGAGCATCCTGATTGGGATATTCTTTTTCGCAGAGGGTACAGAATGTCGTTGTACTAAGAGGTGTCAGGGACTTTTCTCGACTGTGAGATGGAGAACTAGGCTCGTCCGATGTGATACCATGCTCCGTCATGTGGTTTTTTAGGGTTGCTTTTGAATCGCATTCCTTACCGCAAACGAAGCAGGGGAAAATTTTGTTTTCGATGCCATTTAGTTGGAGGATCATGGTTTGTAGTTTTTGGAGATCCTCCGAAATGGAGTCGTTATTTGAAATTGATCGTTGATCTAGAGTGTCGGTTTCGAATTCATTTTTTGATGATGTCTCTTCGTCGGTGGGATGAATTCGTTGGCGATGAGATTCGTAGAGGCCGAGTGTTTGGAAACGTATGCCACATGTGTTGCACTCGTGGTCGTCAGTCGATCGATCGCTGAACTCGGATCCGTTTCCCGATTCGTTGATGATTAGGTTTAGGGGACTGGTTTGCACTTGATGCCAAGTGGCTGCTGAACCGGGGTTTAGTGGTGGTTTCTCGTCTTGGATTATGATACCATGCCTCTTGAATTTGTGTGTACGTAGAAAATATTTGTTACAGTATTCTTTGCAGCAGATTTCACAGAATGCGTCCGGATTTAGGACTCCTAGTTTCCGGAGACGTTCCACGCTGAAATTGGCTTCTTTTGCCTGCTGAATGGCCTGTGGTGAAAGATGCCTTGGCGGTGGCATGAATGAACTGTCTTCCTGCTCGAGTCCGTATTCTTGTTTAAAGAGCATCTCCATCGCTCCTGGACTTTGATACTGTACTTCTCGTTCATCATCCATTGTTTGCATTTGATTCGTCTGATCTGCTGGATCACTGTGAACTGTTTGTTTGTGTTTCATAAGGGATTCTTCAGTTAAAAACATTCTTTGACAAACATCACATGGAATTGTTGGGGATTGTACGGGAACATTATTATCTAGTTTAAGAGCAGGTTCCAATTTGACACTGTTTCCGGGCAATTGTACTGGTAATTGTCCTGCTATTTGTGGAGGCATTTGTCCAATGGGGTAAATTGGTACAGGAGCTCCACCAATTTCGCCGATTGACACTGGATTTGGTGAATCGACGTAAATCCCGTGTTTATTTGCTTTGTGCGTTTTAAGAAAATATTTATTGCAAAATTCTTTATGGCAAAGATCACAATATGCGTCGGGATTGAAAATCCTCATTGGCGCTGGGCCTAAATTTGGTCTATGAATCTGACTAGAATCCGTTAGTGGAAAACCTGGAGGTAATGGTAAATATTGAGGTAGACCTCCGGGGAAATTTGGTAAGGCTGGTAATTTTGGCATCATGTGAATTGAGGCTGACCATTCTTCGTTTGGTTGTTGATTTTGTGATGATTGCACCTGCTCTGCGAGCCACGGGGAAGCTAAATTTTTCATTTCAATATTTGGGACATTAACTAAATTAAGGGACTGATCTAATTGATTGATCGTTTCTATTTTCATTTGAATTTGACTGCTTCTTGAATGTGGTGATTGACTCTCGGAATGTATTTGGGACGCTACAAGATTGTGCTCGCATTCTAAATGCATATCGAGACTCGCTTTGTCATCGAATGATTGACTACAATACTGACAGCGGAATTCTGTATTTAAATTTTCGTCTTTTATTCTTGGATGACCTTGAAGAGATTCTGCCGCTGGCGAATTCGGCTTACCTTCCGAAACTGCATCCGCATCTGGATCCGCATTCTCGACCTCTTCCTCTGACTCGGGATGATCGCCCAACATTAATGATGTGGGAAATCTCACTGGAGTCGATTGTTTTCGTCTTTTTTTCGGACCCGAAGAATCTGCCTCGCCAAGAAGTCGTTTCCTGGCGTCGCGATCCTCACTGCTCGACCCATCACTGTCCAATTCTGCCGGATCGGGCAGCCTCACTTCCTGGACCACTGTCGACGTCATTCTCGAGTTTCCACTTTTTAGCTCTCGCCTACCTTCTCCGGGTGGCCCCGTTTCTTCTTCGACTCTAATGTCTGAAATCATAGGACGAAATTCCTTGAGTTTTCTTAAATTATAAACTAATTAATTAGGTGGATTTTAGGGAATGAATGATTTTAATTAGTTTATTAAGTTTGGCTGTCAAATAAATCGATTGGTATTAGTTTTGAAAGAGGATTAAAATTGAGAGTGCTCTTAAATTTTGTGTTGTAAATATTGGCAGTGAGTTAGTTGTTGAGTGTCACAAATATTTTTAATGATTTGTTGAGTATTGTAAACATTGAGATGAAGTCGAAGAACTGAAGAAAGATGAAATTTTTCACTATTGTCCGGAATGAAATATTTTGTATTGATATTGATTTTCTGACCATCAAAAATTGCTACAACGTTGAAAAAAAGTGTGTTGAACGATTTCAGCCCTCTTGAATTGGAGGCTGCCACCCCCAATCAGGAATTTGATACTTTATTAATGAATCTAGTTGATGCGATGCCTGTAAGAGGATTTCGAAATTATATTGAGGGGGGTGAGGTTGAAATAAGGTCTCCATGCGCATGGCGGCATTAATTGAGAATGTTATAATGATTTTAGTCGACGAAAATCGAAGTGGAGGGTTCACGCGTCTAACGAGAATTTCGTATACGAAGGGAGAAAAAGAAAACCGAAAGTTGGCGAACGAGACGTGGTGAGACACCCTCGAAAGTGGTTCGATAGGAACACCAACTGAATCAGGGTCCTGGTGAGGGTGACTCATGTCTATATGTGCCTATTCTCTTATACTTGAGAAACGAATTTCTGAAAATCAGTGAAAAATTGTTTTTCAATTTTTCTCGGCAATATTTTTCATTTTTTCGAATCTTTTCGGATGCCACTTTTCTTTATTTAATTGGTTCAATTGACAAAATTCGAAATATTCATACTATTCGATGGTAATAAAAAATTAGAAAATTATAGCTCCTATAATTTATTCTTTTTCGTATTTTTTTCAAACTCGCAATGACAGTTTTTCTGCGGATATCAAATTGAGCCAAAAAAACGAATCAAAAGTGTTGCGAAGCAACGTTTTGATTCGTTTTTTGTCTCAATTTGATATCTGCAAAAAAATTGTAATTTTTTTAAAAGTTGGAAAATTTTGTTACTTTCCGCATTGAATTATTAAAGTAGGATTATTAAAAGATTATTAAAAGATTATGCAAGGATTATTTAACATTTTAAAGCAGGATTAAAGAGACGGAATTCAATTTTGATTAGTTTTTAATTTTTGGCAAATTTTTAATAATCTTATTTGGAAATTTTTAATTATTAATTGAACCCCGAGAATCAATTTTGTATTTTATTTTTCAACGTTTTGAAAGAATTATTGCAGGAGTATATCTTTTAGAAGTTGAATTATTTTTATTTCGATTTCGTGAAATATTGATATTTTAAAATTTTTTATAGTTTCGAAACAGTTTTTAATCATAGTATTTCACTGCACATATTGTTTCTCTGTTTATTCGACTTTAACCTTTATTATCTGAAATTCGATAAGCGAAAAATGAAAAAATTGTCGAAAACAAGTTTCTAGCTAGATTTAATATTTTAATCTCATTATTTTTTATTTTATGTTTATGAGAAAAAAGTCTCGTTTAAAATTGAAAATTCATTAGTGTCTAAAGGTTTACATTTCTTTTTATATCTTTATTATCTTTATTTATTGGTATGAGTCTTTTAGAAATATATTAAAATTTAATTCTTCTTTTAAAAAAAAAGGGAAAATTTAATTAACTTTCTATTTTGAAGTTAAAAGACTTTTTTATGGGAAAATTTATTTCTGGAGTAATTGTAAAGGGAAAGAAATTTGAAATTAATGGAATTGAGAATCAAATTAACTTTTTTAAATTAAATGGATATTTTTAAAATGTAGTTGGATTATTTTTGGGATGTTCTACTTTTTCGTTTTTGATAATGAAATTGCATTGAGATGTTAATTATTTCTGCACTTTATTTATTTTTAGAAAAATAAACCGCGGAAATAATTATCATCTCAAGTAACTTTTTTTAGGTATAAATTTAGAGTGAAATATTTGGTATAGATTTTAAAGAGTACGTTTAAAATTTATATTACTCAATAAAAGTATGGAACTTAGGCACTGGCGAAATAAAATTCTTGTTGGAATTCGAATTTTTTTTGTAATTAGCATTCTTGATCAATACTGATAGTCGAATTTTCTCGCACGTGTTTGTTTAAGCATTGGGACAATTAAAACTTTGACTAATTCAATTCTTAATTTAATTTAATGATATTCTGTGATTAATTATTTAAATTCACTATTAACGGTTTAAGCTCAATGAAATTAAAATTTCTGAACATTCAAGAGAACGAAATTTATTTATTTCTATTTTCAATTAAATTTTTCTTACAATAATTTTGCATTACTATAAAAAAAATTAATTTTAGTTAGTCTCCCATTTTTTTATACAGTTTTAGTTTTGTAACATTGAACTTTTTAATTTTTGCAGTCAGTAACTTGTGAAAATATTTTTAATAACAAATATTTTATTCATTTGAATGTTTAAAACTTGTGGATCGTACAAAATATTTAATTCATTTGAACGTCCAAAACGTTCAAATTATTTATAGTGATTTAATAGTGACTATTAATGATTTAAATTTACTTTCTACTTTTGTAAATTCTGTTAATTGGGAAAGTTTTCTATTCATTAAAATTTAGTGACATGATTATTAATCCATTTTCCATCTATAATATAACAATTATTGTTTTCGTTTAATACTGTAATAAATGTTATTTGCTTTATTTTTAAAGTTGGATAATTTTGTTGAGAATATAATAATATGTTATTGATTTATAAATTAGATTGCTGATCAATTAGGAGTTTATTGATCGTCAAAATATGAAATTAATTTCCATCACTTTAATTACAAATAAGATTTTACTGATCCTTATAATTTCCAATTAATCGGTGCTCTGATAATTATTAAAATTATGCTGATCAGAATAGTTTAGAGTCAATTGTTATTTTAATGATTAGTAAAATATTATTATCGGGTAAATTCACACGTAATCAGAAACAGTGAGAATTTGGAGTTTAAATGTTCGTGAATAGACTGAAATATTGACTAACTTTTTGGAGTAATTTTTAGTCATTATTCTTACTCAGGCTCTCTAAATTTGAATTAGTTAAAATGTTTACTAGTTTGAAATAGTGACTTACTTTTTGCTATTGAATTAATAAATTTTACTGATAAATATTAATTTCTACTAAAATTTATTAGTAATTTTACTGAAAAATATTAATTTTGATTAAAATTTATTAGTAATTTTACTGAAAAATATTAATTTCGACTAAAATTTATTAGTAATTTTACCGAAAAATATTAATTTTGACTAAAATTTATTAGTAATTTTACTGATAGATAATAGTTTCTATTAAAATTTATTTGTAATTTTACTGATAGATATTAATTTCTACTAAAATTTATTAGTAATTTTAGTGATAGATATCAATTTCTACTAAAATTTATTAGTAATTTTATGAATAGATATTAATTTCTAAGAATTTATTAATAATTTTACTAATAGATATTAATTTTTACTACTTTATTACTAAAATTTACTAATTGAAAAGCAAAGAGTCAGTCACTATATTAAAATTAGTAAACATTTTTACTAATTCCAATTCAGAGAGAGAATGATACATAATGTTTAATCAGTGACAAATATTAATTTTCAATCAGCGACAATTAATTGTTAATGAGTGATAATTAATAGAATTTTCGCACTGATTCAGATTAAGAGAGAAATAAAATCGAATTAAAATCTCTTGTTAAATTTATGATCCTAGTTTTGAACGTTGAAATGAATTTTCAGAAGTAAAACAAATTAAAATTGAATTAAAAACATTTTAAAAAATTACTCAGTGCTATAAAAATTTAAAGCTTAAATTTTACATCTAGAAACTATAAATTTTTTTTATAGGGACGAAAATTATTGTAATAAAATTTAATTTTGAAGAAGTAAATTAATATCATTTGTTTGAACTTTCAGGACTTTTACTATTTTTAAATTTGCTAATCAGAAAAATCTACTAGCAACATTTTTTGCTCCGAAAACACTGATTGGTAAAATCTGATAGTTTTTGGAATCTGCCAATATACATAATTTTTTGGATTAAGAATTTAAGTTTGAATTCAAGTTTCAATTGTATCAAATTGAATCGAATAGAATTCAATTTTCAAATTGAAAGAATAGAATTGAATAGAATAGAATAGAATTAAATAAAATTGAATAAAATTTAATTGAATCGAATTGAACTGAATTAGAAATAGTTTTGAATCAGTTAAAGTGACAACACTGCGAGAAATGAATACAAAAAAAAAAGTTTTTCGGAGTAATTTCAAATATAATTAAATTTCATAGTTTAGAATTGAATTTTCACACGTGAAAAAGATCAACAGATCATTTTCTTACCCTAGACTAGGTAAATGAATGTCGATCACAATCATCATCATCTCCAAGCTTGAAACTTCTGTTTACTGTCACTTTCACTTTTGTAATAAATCCCTTTGGTTTGCCGGTGTCTCTGTTGACAATAATGTACCTTTCTCCAAGAATTAGTTGCACTGTTTAAACTCTCCCGCCACATGTTTTCGGAGCGTCACACAAAAAACAATAACTGTCACGACACATGGATTTGAAAAATTGTTCACCGGCGAGATATGCGAGATGCGAACGAACCCTTCTCTCGTGTTCACTCTCTCTCTGTGTGCTTGACGTTCTATATTATAAAAAGGTCTCTTTCGAAAAACTCTCTCTCTCATTCTGGGAGAGCCGGTATATCGAAAGAAGGGCGTTATCGGCACGTGGCAAGGAAATGGTGGGGCAGCTGGGGGATCATCTAGTCTAGTGGATGTCACTAGCCCGCAGGAACGGGGGGGATCACCGATTGGCGCGGACAATGGTCAGTGCGCACACTCTCCTTGCGAGCGAACAGGTATTCTTGTGTCAAGTGGGGGATAAGGGAAAAGAAATAAAAAAGACGACGAAGAAGGAAAAGAATGCCAAGATTCAACTCTGGTTAAAAGGGAGGGGAATATGAAGGAAGAACAGTCGGAAGAAGAGAGAAAAAGTGGATGAAGAAGAAGAGGAAAAAAAAATGTGTGTATATAAAAGTAAAAGGACCACTTTTACGCGCTCAATGTTTGAATGTTTGTCCTTTTCACCAGGTTTTTTTTTCTTTTTTTGGGAGTGAGAGTGAATGTGTGAGGAGCGGAGCGGACACGGGCACACGCTTCTACCCGACGTCTTGCTCGTGCCGATCTGTCATACACCATTTCTGTCCCTTCCGCCGATCCAAAACTTGGCTCCCCTTCCATTTTACCCTCCCTTTCGATCCCTTCTCCCGTCATTATGATTATATGCGTTTTCTGGAAAATTTAGACGATTCATATATATATATATTCACATGTATAGGGAATAGAGACGAGGATTATCCATATATGAGAGTGGAGAGGGTAGGGGGATATTTAATTTTATCTCGAATTTATCCCATGTGGTCAAAATTACAACTTGAACATTTTTCGAAATAATGAATTTTTATTATTTTCGATTTGGGAAGATTTTCAAAATTTCCCAGATCGAAAATAATAAATAAAAAAAATTACTTATGAAAAAAACTTCATCTGGACCAACGATATGTTTATCTAGAATAGTGAAAGTTTTAACTGAAATAAATAAAAATTTCGCTAAAATAGTTAAATTTGTATATTTGTTAGAAGGAAACAGTTTTTCCGCGTTTAAAATCCAAATTTTCAATTCTACTCTCTAAATTTGAATCAGTTAAAAATAACTGATTTAGAAGCAAAAAGTTAGTTACTAATTCAAATAGTAAAATTTCTACACGGAAACAAATATAAAGTAACTTTTACTACTTTTATAGTAAAAAATTTCTGGTAATTTTGACTACTTTTGGAGTAAATTTTGCTACGTTCGAAGTAAATTTTACTAATTTTTATAAATATATGTACTTTGAAAGTAGTAAAAGTTACCAAAAATGCTATACCAGAAATGTTTTACTATAAAAGTATAGTAAAAGTTACTGTATATTTTTCTTCGTGTATTGACATTTAGTTAAAAATAAATGATTATCAGTTAAAAATAAGTGATGTTTTAGTAGATTTTTTTAAACTGATTTAACCATTTTGCACGTATTTTTTTTACTGAAAATCAATTATTTTTTCATTAAAAGTCAGTTTTTTCTAACTGATTTACAAGAAAAAAGTCAGTCACTGATTGTCAGTTAAAACTAAGAAATTTAACTCAGAAAAAATGACTAATTGTTAGTCTCCAAATCTGAATTGGAGAAAAGTTACTAATGAAATAACGAAAAGTCGTCCACCAAATGAATTAGAAATACTTTTACTGGGCAGTCAGTGAAATTTTACTAATTATTATTAGAATTTTACTGACAATTAGTGAAACTATTTTATTAAAAGTCAAAAAAGTAGTTTTCAGTCATATTTTACGAATCAAAATCAAGAAACTTGTTTTACTTGGAAATGATTAACAGTTAGTGAAATTTAGTATTTGTTAGTAGAATTTTGTTAATTCAGATTTAGAGAGTACTAAATATTTATTCGTCTTATAGTAGAATTTTACTAATTGCTATAGTTATTTGATTCACTAAGTGCATTAATGAAACTTTTTGAAAAAAAACTTGAATTTTAACTGACTTTTAATAAAACAGATCTACTAAATATAAGTAAAATTCTACTGAAAATTAGTAAAGTTATTGTAATAATTAGTATAATTTTACTGACACCTAGTAAATTTGGACTAACAATTGAAAAAATGTTAAATTGTTTTCTTGAAAAATTATAGTAAGAATTATTAAAATTGTACTGATTGTTTGAAAAATTATACTAAGAATTAGATAATTTCACTGATTGATAGTAAAATCAGACAAAAATTAGAAAAATTTTGTGGGTTGTTAGTAAAAATTATACCTACTCAGAATTAGTAAAATTATTCACTGATTGCTAGTAAAAAATGCTAAAAATAATAAAATTATTTTGACAATTAGGAAAATTTTACTGATTGTTAGTAAAATTAAACTCCGATTTAGTAAATTTATTTACTGATTGCTAGTAAAATTAGACTAACAATTAATAAAATGTTATATAAGTAAATATAAAGTTAGTAAAGTTTCAGTAAAAATTAGAAAGATTTTACTGAATGCTAGTATAAAATTATTTTTAGAATCAGTAAAATGTTACTGATGGCTAGAAAAATTATACTTACAATATTAGTAAAATTATTCTGATTGCTAGCAAAATTACACTAACAATTAATAAAAATTTATTTATTGCTAGTAAAATTTCATAAACAAATTAGTAAAATTTTACTGATAGGTAGCAAAATTATACTAACACTCAGTAAAATTTCAGTGATTGATTGTGAAAGTATACTCAGGATGAGTAAAATTACAGTAAGATTTAGTAAAGTTTTATTGATAGGTAGTAAAATTATACCAACAATTAGTAAAATTTCACTGATTGCTACTAAAATTTAATAGTAGAATTCTTTAGAATGTAATAATTGCTATAAAAATTGGCCTTTATTCAATAATTATGATTTTTGTATATTCAAAATTTTTCTTTGGGTTTTAAATCTTTAGAATGGTTTTGGCTTTAATTAACAGCAAAGCTTATAAATATGAATCAGTGAAAAATTAGTGAAATTTTACGAATTCATAGGTTTATTTTTGCATTAATTTAAAGTGACTTTACATTACTCAAATTTCACTCATTGAGATATAATAATGAATTAATTAATTGTATTCTTTTGATTTTAATCAGTCATTTTTTACTGATTTGACATTTAAAAAAAATACTGACAACTTGCAGTTACTTTCTAATGGTTAACTTAAATTTTCAAGATACGTCACTGTAATTTTCAGTCATTTTTTAATTGTCCAATCAGTGAAAAATAACTGACATTTTAGTAATTTTTAAAAATTTTAGACAAATTTCACTGATCTTCGGTGAAATTTTACTGATTCAAACTTAGAAATTATTAACTAATTATTAAATAATAATTAAAATTATTAAAATAATAGTTAATGAAAATCCACTAATACCATATGAATCAGTGAAACTAGACTTATTTAAATTTGAAAGAGTGATAAATGCTTTGAGTTGAATTTTTGTTTTGGATATATGTAGTATAAAGGATCTTAAAAATGTCAGTGATGTACATAAATCTTTCTCGTCATTAAAAAATTAAAAATCGTTGATCAATTTTGATATTGGATTTTTAAAGGTCGCCTCTTATTTTCTTTATGAAAAAGTGATTGAATTTCTATAAAAACTTTCAAATTAAAAATTTTTGCTCTCATTTATCAGCGATAGATTAAAATTTTTCTTTGTAGTTTAAAAATAAATTCAAAGAACTGGACGATTGAATGAAAAATAATTGAATATTCTTTACGTGTCTATTCGGATTTTGTAGCAGTGATTGTTAAATATACCCCTCGAATGAATGCAGACAATTTGTGGCATTATATTTTGATTAATTTAAATTTTTCCTCTGAGTAGATGAAGGTATATTGTGTATTTGTAGGGATTAAACACATTTGTGTTGAAAAATTCGAAGCAATGGGAAAAATAAAAATTAATTAACGTTCGCCAATATAAGACGATATGAAGAATGACAAAAAAGGGATATGAACGTGGAAATCGAATTTTCGAAATTGACAGCAATTTTGAGGATTTAGTCAGTCTCGATGAAAAGGACAGCATCAACAGTATTGAATGCTCGATAAGGGACTAGTAGAATGGAAATTGGATTATGCGAGGGTTGAAAATAGAGGGTTGGGTTATCCAAGGTAGTGTAGTGTGTTGTGAGGAACTGCGGTTCTGTATGCCGCGACGTAATCATTTGACAGATTCTCCGAAAATAGTCGTAAATACGCCCGTATGTTAGAAATTTTGTTGAAAAAAAGGTATATATCCCCTTTTTTTGCAGTTGGCGCAATCGGCTCCACTATAGTCATAGAACGCATCATCCAACAACACAAATATATTTATAAATCCCACCCCCCAGGAGAAAGGGGAGTTTTGTGGAAGAATGAAACTTTGGCTTTTCAAACCAGGAAACGGGTGATTGAGAAAAACATGTTATTTTCGGAATAATGAAGAGAATGAATTTTTGAATAGGTTTATGGTCAAGTCATGATGATGAAGAATCGTAAATCATTCCCGAGGAATGGCAGGTTGTCGAAGTAAAATTTTCTACGTTTAATTTTAGTTCCAGTCTTGAATTAATGTTGAAATTGACAAATCTCTTTTGATCCGCAATGTTGGAATTGTCTGAATTGTTTTTCAATTATTTTTAATGTTCTGAAATTCTTGATTTTGGTTCAATTAATGTTATATTTCGGTATTTTGTTTACACTGTAAGAAATGGAGTTAATATTCAACTCTCAATGGGATTACTTTGACTTTCATTTCTACTTTGATTTTGATGTTCACTTTAACTTTGATAAAATTTTATTTAACCTTCGTTTTCATTTTGATAGATTCTTTTTTTAAACTTCTATTTTCACTTTCAACTTGGCAAATTTCTATTTTTAGTTTTACTTTGATAGAAAGTGCGAAAATAGAAATTTGGCAAAATGAAAGTGAAAACAAAAATCTAACAAAGTGATAAATTTTTATTTAACCTTCATTTTCATTTTGATAGATTCTTTTTTTAAACTTCTATTTTCACTTTCAACTTGGCAAATTTCTATTTTTAGTTTTACTTTGATAGAAAGTGCGAAAATAGAAATTTGGCAAAATGAAAGTGAAAACAAAAATCTAACAAAGTGATAAATTTTTATTTAACCTTCATTTTTATTTTGATGGATCTTTATTTTTTTTACTTCTACTTTCACTTTCAACTTGATAAATTTCTATTTTAACTTTCACTTTGATAG